ATATGATGAAATTTTATTTTATTTTATTAATTTTATTATTTTTTATTTTACAAATTAATGTGCTTCCAACAGGCCTAATATATTAAATAAAACACAATAAAATAATGTTTCCCGAAAGATATTTCAAATTAGACATGTTTAGCTAATTTTTTAAATTCCTAAAAAACATATAAAGTCTTTGTGTTAAAATTCGATCCCCTTATTACAACATAATAAAAAAAATGTATCTTAAAATTTTGGATTATTAGAGTGTGTACCTTCTGGATTATTTCTAATTAAAAATATGCCCAATTTTAGTCAAATATTTTAATATTTCTATTTTTAAAACATTCAACTAAAAAAGTTATAAAGTCTGATTGAGTGATTAAATTTAAACCGCTTATTACAACTTAATTTAATTGTGTTATCTAAAAATTTTTAAAGTATGTATGTTCTACCTGTAAAAGCTTTTGTATAATTTTTACAATTAATGTTTTTTGCCTTTTAAATTTTTAAAAAGAATTTTTAATAAAAAATAAAACTCATTGTGCAGTGCACATTCTATAATACATTAAGTAATAAAAACAGTTAAAAGTATTCGAATAAATCTCTGACTAAGTCACGGTATCGAACTTACAGCGCGCGGCAGCGTTAAAACTCTGCTCATTGCTTAACATTAAATAATATCTTCCTACGAAAAAATTGTGTTTGCAGTGTTGCCAGATTTAGGGCTACACAGGAACCGTAATATATCTAGGATTTCTATTCTAGATACACTTACTACAGCGCGCCACCTACAGTTAAATTCAATTAACTATTTTGTATATAACTATGGCTAAACCGGTCGTTGTTAAGCCCTGCCAAAAATTTAACCTGGGGTTCCTGGGGTTCCCAACACCGTGATTAATCGATTGATCGATATATATATATATATATATATATATATATATATATATATATAATTAAATATATTTATATATTTTATTATATATATATATATCCTTGACGTAAGGAATATATATAGGTAATTACGTAATATATAATTTAATATATTTATATATATTATTATATAAATACAAAAAGTTTATATACAAAAGTGCTCTTTTAGTTCCACCCTTACTTCTTAAGAAGTCCCATAAGCCAACTGAATGGCTTTTGCGGGTTAGGGGTAGGAACGGACCGCGGGCTTAAAGTCCCCTCCAAAGGACTATTACACAATAGGACAAACACAAATAAACAGCCATACCCCTGGTGGGATTCGAACCCACGACCTCCGGCTTGTAGTCAGCAGCACTAACCACTCGTCCACCGTCGGCGATATATATATATATATATATATATATATAACGTAATTATATTAAATTTTTTGACTCCTTACTTCAAGGATATATATATATATATATATATATATATATATATATATATATATATATCCTTGAAGTAAGGAGTCAAAAAATTTAATATAATTACGTTTTTCCCAATATATTGTATTATTTCTTTCAATATTTATATGTTACCTTGAATCATTTTCTTAAAAGTTTGGCCGTTTGGCCACCTATATATATATATATATTAGGGTGTTTCAAAAAAAACTTAAATTTTTTTTCTAATGGTGTTGAAAAATTAATAATACATTAAAAAATAAAAATTTTGGCGCATATTTGAGCCCTTAATATTAATATTAAGGTTTGCCTCAATTCATTTGTTGTTTTTCCATTTCAATAACACGGAAATTGTTATTTTTTAAATTTTGAATTCTTATAACTTTGGAATGGTTTGTTTTTGCAACACCCAAGCGAGAGGAGTTATAACTATAAATAGACAATTTCACGCTTTACATCTGAAGGTCAAAGTTCTTCAGGTCAACCGTTTCAAAGATATCAGCGATCAAAAATAACACTAATAAAAAATTTCAAATATTTTTAAATAAAATACAAAAAAATATCATATGCCATATTTATATTATTTTTTATGTAAAATCACTTTAATTCTGTTAACCTAAGACTGTAAACTTTTTTTTTATGTGTCCCAGAACTCGCGCCACAGAGAAAAAGGGGGCGTGCCGACAGAAATGGAGATGCCAAATTTAAAAATAAAAAATTTCTAGGTAATAGTGTAAGCGAATTAAAGCAAAAAAGTGGCAGCCAATACCGAGAGCTCTTGCCTAGATTAAACGTAGGGGATTTAAAAATTGCTAGGAGACGATAGAACATTGTTGTCTTAAAACTTTTAAAAATCTTTTGGCCGACTGTATTTACTAAGTTGTCAAAAGCTGTCAAAAATGACTGATACCTCAGAACGACAATGTTTTAAAGTAAAAAATCACAAGAAGTTGAAATTTTTTAGGCTTTTTTAGTTAAAATTTTAGAAAAAGTCATAAGTTACAGAAAAAAATAAACAAACTTTTAAAAAATTACAAAAACTATAAATTTCCGTAAAAGTAAACAAACAACATTAAGTAAAACTAAATTAAATATTATGAAAATGTGTTAACAACTAAATAAAAAAAATATGCTAATCTGTTTACAATAAGTGCTCAAAGTGTGCACCATTCATTTGTAAACAAATCCGCGCTCTTCTTAAAAGGCTGGATTTTGACTCCATGACCATTTCAGGAGTAACCGTCGCAAAAGCATCTTGGATGCGGTTCCTAAGCTGATCCTCTGTTTCGATGGGTACACTATAAATAAAGTTTTTAAGGTGTCCCCAAAAGAAAAAAATCCAAGGCATTTAAATCGGGTGAACGAGCAGGCCAATTTTGTGGCCCACCTCGTCCTATCCATCGGCCAGGATACTGCCGTCCAAGATTCGCCGAACGTCGCGACTAAAATGTGGTGGTGCCCCATCGTGCTGCAACCATTCATTTACTCGATATACCAGTGGCACGTCGCCTAACAAATTCTCTAAATTGTTTTCTAAGAAGTCTGCATAAATTTGGCCTGTTAACCGTGCAGGAAATTCAAAAGGTCCAACCTAGAGGAAAATGGCCAAATTAGAATAAAAAAGAAAACCTAAATAGTTTACATACAACGCGATCTCCTATTATAGCACTCCAAAAATTAATAGAAAATCGATGTTGGAACCCCCCTTGGAATATAGCATGCGGATTTTCATTTGCCCATACATGTAAATTATGGGCATTGAAGCATTCTTGTCTGGCAAAAATTGACTCATCCGAAAACATAATGTTAGAAACAAAATTTGGCTGGAGATTTTCTTGCTCCAGCAACCACAGGCAGAATTCGACTCTAGCGGGATAATCTTCCGGCTGAAGGTGCTGCACTCGGGTAAAATGAAAAGGGTGTTGCCGATCGTTCTTCATAACCCGCTGAACTGTGGAGCGGGAAATATCCAGTTCTTGAGCAACTTCCCTTATGCTCTTCCTACTATTTTCCTCAAACGCATTCAAAACAGCTTCTTCATTTTCCACTGTTCTAATACGTTTGGGAGCACCTCCAATCCCCTTACGAAGCGGAACAACTTGACCGGTCTCTCGGGTTCTTGTGATAGTTCTAAGGATTACTTTACTGTCCAGGGGACGATCAGGAAAGCGCTGGGAAAAAACTCTCGCTGTCTCCCTGGCGTTGCGCCCACACTCCCCATAAATAATTATCATTTCGGTATAATCATCTAAGGAAAACATTATTTATAATAACTTAATTTATAACTTTGTTATAACCAAATATAATATTAATGACAGAAGTAAAGATTGACAGCAGTGTTACAATGAATTGGATTCCAGTGGATCAAATATTTTACATATTTTTTATTATCAACAATGCAACCTAAGTATCCTAGCAATTTAAAGAATTCCCTGTGGTGATCTATTGGGATTGGCTATCGTTTTTTATTCTTATCTCCCTTATCCTTTGCGTTGGACAATTTGAATTTTTAAATATGTGTTTCAAATTACTTTCGGTACGTTCCCTTTTTCTCTGTGGCGCGAGTTCTGGGACACCCTGTATATGTATAATATACATTATATATATATATATATATGTACCTATATATAAATAAAAAAAAGTTTACAGTCTCAGGTTGACAAAATTAAAGTGATTTTACATAAAAAATAATATAAATATGGCATATGATATTTTTTTGTATTTTAACCTCTCGCTTGGGTGTTGCGAAAACAAACCATTCCAAAGTTATAAGAATTCAAAATTAAAAAAATAAAAATTCCCGTTTTATTGAAATGGAAAAACAACAAATGAATTGAGGCAAACCTTAATATTAATATTAAGGGCTCAAATAGGCGCCAACATTTTTGTTTTTTAATGTACTATTAATTTTTCAACACCATTAGAAAAAAAATTGTTATTTTTTTTAAACACCCTAATATATATATATATATATATATATATATATATATAAATTATTTCGGCCATATACAGGGTGTCCCAAAAGTCAACGATATCCTTTGAAGGACTAATCAGAATATCAAAACATGACCTTAGTAAAAAATCATTAGTTAGATATTGGTATTTTTATGAATTTGAACATATTATTTTCGCGAAATATAACATCTGTCAAAACCTCGCAAAATTCTATAAATAAACTTTCGAAAACCACTTTAAAAAATTGAAAATAATTCTTAAACTTGCCCTAAAGTTTTCGAAATATCTGTCGAATTATTTTCAATTCATTCTTACTCTCTTGTAATGTTTATGTTGATATTAATCCATCGATGTTGTTAAAACTCGCAGTCTCAAAAATGTATACTAATCAGTCATTGTATATTGATAAATATGGGTTTTAACTAAACACTATGTGCAATAATAATAAAAAAAAAATATTTTTATTGTTATTTTCTTTTTTTTTCGGCATCACTTTTACTTTATTTGACATAACAACAAAACAATATTTCCAACAAGAATGTATCTTGGTCTTTTTGGTGTACTGATCTGGTAAGGCGTTATAAAATTCTAAAAATAAAAAAAATCTTTCTTTTTTTGATTAATTCCAACATCTTGTTTTGGTCAATCTTATGTTCCTTATACTACCTAATATAATAATTTTAGTTCCTGATGATGATTGTAAAAATCTGCCGAAACCTTCCACCCAGCAAAGTTGTAATACTGATACTAAATGTGCCCGATGGTATATAGAACCTTGGAAGCCGGTAATATATAAATATACTTTCTAAAATAAATGTAAAATTCAATTAAAATAATTTTAGTGTGATCATTTGTGTGGTGATGGCAAACAAACAAGAAAAGTTATATGCTATGTACAAAAAGAAGATGGAAAAAGAAAAGTTCTTGCAGATACAGAATGTGAACAAACTGAAGCAAAACCGCCTACTGAACAAAAATGTAATCTAAGACCATGTGAGGGGGTCGATTGGATAACTTCTGAATTTAGCGGGGTAATTTATTTATTAGTTATTAAAAACCATCCTCTGGACGGTAGATGTCGCTAAGAACTCTCGTTCGCTGTGTTTTCACCGCTGTTCTATGGCATTACTTGCTATAAGAGCGGCTGGTGCATTTTGTTTCGAGTATTCTTCGGACCAACACGGCTACCCGACACTGATAAGGACCAAAAGTACGAAGCAGGCTGTCTGTCGGTGCCTGGTTCGAAGCACATTCGAAATAAAAGCACAGTGAGCGAGGTGATTGGCATTTTCACATATTGATAGGCACTACTCTAGTAGGAAAACCATGCTGATCTTCGGACCCGTATACTTTTTTTTTCAGGGGGGCATATTTACACATTTATTTTATCACTGTAACTTTACTCTGCTGAAAATGACGGATGATTGCGGATATAAATTTTTTGTCAAAACCGGATAAAAGCAGATGATTGCGGGTATAAATTCTTCGTCGAAGCCGGATAAAAGCCGATAAAAGCGGGTAAAAATAACATCTGATAACATCTGCTTTTGTCCGCATCGCTATATCCGCGAACACCCGGTTGGTTGTGTTTTATGTCCGGTTAGTGCACCCCCGCAATCATCTGCAATCATCTGTTTTTAACCGTATTCACTGTGTTTCGTTTATATCTGAATTTGTCCGGAATCATCTGCAAACGTCTGCTTACGTCTGGTTTTATCCGCGATTACCTGCATTTTTTTGTATATTTTTGTCTGGTTTTATCTGCAAACGTTTGCTTTTATCCGCGAGCATACGCTTTTACCCGCAAACGTCTGCCAAGTCCAATTTCACCCGCCAACATATGCTTTTATCCGGTAACATCTGCTTTTATCCGCGACCATCTGCTTTCATCCGCGAACATCTGCAATCACCCGCGAACAACTGCTTTTATCCGCGAACATCTACAATCACCCACGAACATCTGCTTTTACCCGCGAACGTCTGCTTTCATCCGCGAACATCTGCAATCACCCGAGAACAACTGCTTTTATCCGCGAACATCTGCAATCACCCGCGAACATCTGCTTTTACCCGCTAAAGTCTGCTTTCATACGGTTTCACCCGCAAACATGCTTTTATCTGCGAACGCCTGATATCATCCGGTTAGTGCACCCCCGCATTCACCCGAAAACATCTGCTTTTATCGGCGAACATCTGCAATCACCCGCGAACATCTGCTTTCATCCGCAAACGTATGGTTTTATCAGCAAACATCATACGGTTTCACCCGCAAACATGCTTTTATCTGCGAACGCCTGTTTTCATCCGGTTAGTGCACCCCCGCAAACATCTGCTTTTATCCGCAAACATCTGCATTTATCCGCCAACATCTCATTTTATCCGCGAACATCTGCTTTTATCCGCGAACATCTGCAATCATCCGCGAAGATCTGCTTTCATCTGCTTTCATCTGCTTTCATCTGCTTTTATCCGCAAACATCCCATTTTATCCGCGAACATCTGCTTTTATCCACAAACATATGCTTTCATCCGCAAACATTTGCTTTTATCCGCAAACATCTCATTTTATCCACGAACATCTGCTTTTATACGGTTTCATCCGCAAACATGCTTTTATCTGCAAATATCTGATTTTATCCGCAAACATCTGCATTTCTCTGCAAATATCTGTTTTTATCCGCGAACATCTGCAAACATCTGCTTTTAATTGCAAACCTCTGCTTTCATCCGCGTTCGGCTTGCCTGCATTTCCTTTGTCCATTTCGGTCCTGTTTCGTACGTAAACGTATGGTTTCATTCGCGCTTTTTGTTTTCCTTTTTCTCAGGTTCTTATACTTTAGTTTAGTTTACCTGCTTTGTCAAATTTGACTAAGCTTTAACTAACTGGTTGTTAGCAGATGTTTGCGGATAAAAGCAGATGTTTGCGTATAAAATTAGATGTTTGCGGATAAAATCATATGTTTGCGGATAAAATCAGATGTTTGCGGATAAAAGCAGATGTTTGGAGATTAAAAAAGATGTTTGCGGATAAAAGCAGATGTTTGCGGATAGAATCAGATGTTTGCGGATAGAATCAGATGTTTGCCGATCAAAACAGATGTTTGCGGATTAAAGGAGGCGTTCGCGGATAAATGCAGATGTTTGCGGATAAAAGCAGAAGTTTGCGAATTAAAGCAGACGTTCACAGATAAAAGCAGATAAAAGCAGATGTTTGCAGGTGAAATCGGATGAATCAGACTTTTGCGGACTAAATTAGATGTTTGCGGATTAAAACAGATGATGTGGATTAAAGCAGTTCAAAGATAAAAGCAGATCTTTGCGGATATAAGCAGATGTTTGCAGGTGAAATCGGATGAAGCAGACTTTTGCGGACTAAAGTAGATGTTTGCGGATGAAATTAGAGGTTGTGTAGATTAAAATAGATGTTCGCGGATGAAAGTAGATCTTCACGTATAAAAGCAGATGTTTTCACGTAAAATCGGATAAAGCAGACGTTTGCGGATTAAAGTATATGTTTGCGGATAAACTCAGATAAAACCGGGTGAATGCAGATATAAACCCAAATAGGTATTTGCGGATGAAAGCAGACATAGAACTAAATAGATAAAACCCGACGTTCGCGGATAATATTTATACCCGCAATTGCAGATATGTCGGATGAAAACAGATATAAATGGACATAAAACTAGCTTGGTTTTTTATCCGCAATCATCCGATATTACCCGTCTTTTTCAGCAGGGCGAAGGGGTATGTTGTGATTCATCTTTACAGAAAAAAATACAATCTGCATTAAAGTACGCATGCGCCGCCAGTACCGCTACCGCTACTTTCTGAACTATAAATTGCCGCTACTTCTACCGCTACCTTTACCGCTGCCTCTACCGTTACCTTTAAAACTATAAATCCAGCTTTATTTTCTCTTAATAAGTCTGAATAATACTTATCGGAAAAAGTCAGAACAAGACTTATTAAGTCGGAAAAAGTCTAAATAAGTCTCAGTAAGTCAGACTAATAGCAAGATTTGGGAGTCTTCTGGAAGAGTTAATAAGACTTTTTAAGACTTAATAAGACTTTTAGCAGAGAAATGGTAGGTACCTAGCGATTAGAGATTAGATATTTGTATTAATACCAAATTTGGTTATTGCAAAAGAAATCACAATGAAAAGGATTTATAAACACTGTTTTTGTGTTGTTATAAGGCTTATAAAAACACGGAAGCAATGTTTACAATATATATATTCAATATTATATTGTTTGTTTACCTATAGGTAAACAAACTTTATTTTAATTGAACAGAATAAAACAGTTGGGAGATACGTTTGGTTTGTGTACATACAGATCCCTTGTTGATTAAGTACATATATAAGGTATAATAACTATAACAATTATTCGCAACGCATATACATGATCATTGGCGTAACTACAGGGGGGCCTAGGCCCCCCCCAGACATCGCTGTCCCCCCAAGGAAAAGGCTAACAATACAATACAATTTTTTTTACCAAATTTGCAATATAAATATGTATGTATCATTTACATATCTTAGGTTGTATTTTATCAACTTTCAAAATACGAGTAGGTACCTATTTTAAAACCACCCCTGCAAGCTCGCAACTAGCAATCAGGGCTAGATGCTCCCGTGGACGAGTTTTGGTTCGTGCCGCGCATGACGTCACTTAATGAGTGCTTGCTGTGCGAATACACGAATAATAGTAATTTATCAAAGATCAAAGAAAATAGAGAAATATCTGGACATGTAGACTGTAGTTTAAGAGTTGGTGTTTTAAATTAAACTTATAGTCACTGTCCAGAAAATTTTTAGAGGAAACAGAAGCGGTCTTAGCGCTAATATTGTCTATTCTTTTTATGGCATTTAACCACTGTTTGCACAAATCAAAGTTTTTTGGGAATCGATGAAATTTAATGTTTTTATTTAAAGGGTTTTTCTTGGACTGGTTGTCCGAATTGCATACAAATATGCCACATCTCATTTTATATTTCATAAATGCAAATGGCACGACACAAACTAAAACACAACAAAACAAGTTAACGCAACACAAAAACAATAATAAACAATAATTTGAACACATAAAAGTAATTTGAACCTCACTGAACGCAAAAACACCAAGTTAAACAAAAAAATAGAGCAAGTTAACATCCAATATCATCGCAAAAACAAGAATTTTAGCAGCAGATAATTAAAGATTTAAAAATACTCAACAAGTGAAGTATTTAAGCCCCGCCCAGCATGCGCACATACACTTAAGGTGTATGTATCTTGCTAGCAATTGTATCTTTTCATAACAACAAACTGTCATGCGCGTTACAAACGGTCATCAATAATATATATTTGGACACGTCCTCACATTGTAGTTCTTACTGCCTTTCTCACTGGAACTCTTTGTTCAAAAAAATTGTTATTTGTGCCTTTTGGAGACAACATTTGTTTTACTTTTTTAAAGATTCCTATAGTCACAATAACAGGCCCAGCCTAGGCCCCCCCGGGTCAGATGTCTAGTTACGCCAATGGGCATGATATGCTCGACAGTCGAACACAGATTATAAAACTCATAAAACAAATATTGTTGATCATCACAGGTCCGGATTAAGACAATTTGTTGCCCTAGGCTAATAATAAAATGGCGCCTATAATAATTATTATAGGCCATGTTAGTACCTATGGTTTTAATATAACACAATACATTTTAGCTGACAGGGGCGCACAATTAAGGGGAGCAAGATGGGCACGATTTATTAAAAATTATTACTTACAAATGTTAAAAATCAACTGGCTAAAAGCAAGTGGTTGTAGTTTTTTTATTTTAAAATCCTAGATTATTGATCATGCATGCAAAAGTTTTTAGCGGAGTCGCAGTGCATTGTCGGCACGCGCTGCGGTATAGGCGACATCCATCAAAGAATAAAAAAAATATTCATATTTCCGATTTGGTTATTAAAGTAAAAAAGGGTACATAATTATATAATATAATTATAATTATTAAACATGAAATACCTACTCTCTAAAAATAAATT